GAGAGGCCACATTTTATCGTGAACATCATACTATGTTTGGTATTTGTCACTGGTGATAGCTCTAGAAGCTACAGATCACCAAGAGACCAGAAGAAAACAAACAACAAGTTTGGGAAGTCCACAAAGCATTTTATTCCACAGGAAGAAAAATGATGACTCTGATATGAGAACCAGACTCGAGAGTCTTAACACATTGGTGACTGTAATAGTGTTTACATAATAGAGAACCAGATATTTCATTTTTAGAATTTTATCAAGCAGCTACTATGGTATTTTGAGGCACAGATCATACTTACAAACAAAGTGGCCCTGGAGCCTTCAGAACATTGCAGTGAGTATCCACCAAGCAGCAAGACACTCTGGGACTGGGGAAGGGGCCGCTTGTCTGTTTTCCACTGTGTAGTGACCAGGCCAGAGCCTGGGGAAACACTGGCCTGGCTCACCTTTCAGTGAGCACAGAGAAGCAGCGCCAGCCAGGGAGTGACACGGGTCGGTCAACGGTGCTGGGTCAAGGGACTGAGTGGCTTTGGATATCTCCTTACCCAATTTACGCTTATTCCATTTATTTTACTTTCCTCAGAGACCAACTGTGTGTTTGAGGCAGAAAGAAAAGCAGTAGAAATGATTTTTTTTGTTTTGTTTTGTTTTGAGACGGAGTCTCGCTCTGCCGCCCAGGCTGGAGTGCAGTGGCCGGATCTCAGCTCACTGCAAGCTCCGCCTCCCGGGTTCACGCCATTCTCCTGCCTCAGTCTCCCGAGTAGCTGGGAATACAGGCGCCCGCCACCGCGCCCGGCTAGTTTTTTGTATTTTTTTTAGTAGAGACGGGGTTTCACCGTGTCAACCAGGATGGTCTCGATCTCCTGACCTCGTGATCCGCCCGTCTCGGCCTCCCAAAGTGCTGGGATTACAGGCTTGAGCCACCGCGCCCGGCCAGAAATGATCTTAACAAAGTCTTAGACGTTGCTGGCTGAGTATCAGTTTACAAAGAAACGGGGCATTGAAGGAGCCACGGGCAGCACCTGTTTCCTCCAAAGTTTTGCATGTTTTCCTGGTAAGAACCAGGAGGGGATGTCAGACACCCCTGAAACCTTCTGGCCGCAGGTGGCCCAGGGCTGCAGGGCAGGGGAGGGCTGAGAAGTGGAACAGCTCGCCGTTCGCCCTCCCATCTCCCACCCAGCCTTGCCCTAGATGGTCTTTGGATCCCATTTTAACATCTGCCTCTCCTAAGGTGCGAGTGTCAAAGTGCTTGATTGTGCAATCACAGGAGATGGGCAGCTATTTAAAGAGTTGAATAAAATTAGAAAGGAGCCCGAGGAGGGCATCTGAACACTTCTCTGGATTCCTCCTAAAGCACCAGCTGCAGGCTAACTTCCTCAGTCAGATCTGAGAATGCCCAGCACTGCTGCGGCCCAAAGCAGATTTCTTTAGTAACGCTAAACTCCTTGATCTCATCAAGAAATTTCAAGTGACTTTGTTCCAGAAGCTGATAGAAGGCTCACTGACGCATACAATCAACCCTTCCGAGAGTCTCATCTTTTAAGAGATCATGATCTCAGGCAGTGGGTTGCTGATGACAAAAACCACAAGCCAAACTTTGGGGTGCAAGGAGGGAGGCTGAGGAGGAAGCTGCGGAGGAGCTGCCACTTGGCTGTATCCTGCTGCCATCTTGTGCAGGGCATGAGTGCTGACACAATCACGACTACCCCCCGGAAAGACACAAACTAAAACCCACCCAATGCCGCAAAAGCCAAGTTTCAATTCTGCAATCCACTAACTTGGAGTTCAGCGAAGGCAACCAGCCTCGGAGTTCAAGAAAGCTGATCCTTGAACACCATGTAGCTACTTGTGCTAAAGCTCCCTTCCTTCCTCTGCACGCGTACACACACACACACACACACATACACACACACAGACAGACACAGAGGGGAAGTGGGAGAGGAAAGGGAGGGGAAGAAGATTAGCTTCATTTGTGTTTTGGAAGGATTTGGGTCATGAGTTATAAACACCAAAACCTTCCACGCATCCACTGATCCACTGAGTCATCCCAGACTCAGCTACATGTGACAAGGTTGTAGAAATTGATTAGCTTTATTAAAATAAAAATTTTAAAATCACAAGGTGAGTCATTCATTCTAAAGTGAGGCCCTTTTTCCCTTCTCCCTAGATGCTTAATCCTTACAGAAAAGCAAAACACCAAAAAAAGACCCAGGCCGCTCATACCAGGCCTTGCTCCCAGCAGGAATTTAAAAACAAGGATAAGAGATGGTTTCGTCAAATCTTGGTTCCACGAAAAGCTTACCAACGCAGCTTTTTAATACTATTTCATCCCCTTTCTGGAACTCTCCCCGCTCCCTTCTCACCCTGGGGTTTCCATCCTGTGTCCCCTCGGGCTGTGGAGCTGCGATGCCCGCCTGTGGCTTTATTAAAAGGAAAACAGTCCCCGGGCTTTGTTCTTGGTTGCTGCTGCCCAGGCAGGAGAGCACTCTTATGTGGATTTCTGATTTGTTGCAGTAGTTCAATGGGATTTTTCTTTTCCTTCTCAGTTAACAGAGTTTACCAATGTTTCCAACCTCTCTAATAATAACCTGAGAAAGCTTACAATGCTGATTTGCCCATGTGTGGTAATAGAGCACAGGTTTCCCTCTAAGTTTGGTAAGACTAGTTAGGATAAAGCCAAATGGATAACTTACAACAAACACAATTTGTGAGAATCTAAGCACTCTTTGTAAAATGGGGGTGAGAAATTAAAAGGGAGCTCCCAAGCCCCTCTCCTAGATCCTTCTGAGGGGCCAGCGCTAGTCCTGGGTGCCGCAGCTCACGGCCCAACTGGGCAGCCACGATGTCAAAGGCGTCCCTTTCAGGACCACAGCCCTCACCTCAACCCACTTTACTGGGAATACTTTAGTCTCCAAAACTAAGATGTAACATTCTTTAAGAATGCCTTTCTATAGACAGTATCCTGAATTAGATGTCTAGAATTAGTGCAATAGAAGATCCAATATAATTTTATATTACTTTACAGTTAACAAACCTTTACACATAGCACAGGCCCTGCTCAGAAACGTTCCTATATATTTACAAACACACAGTTGTACATATATACATGTTAACAAAATACAGGGCATCTAAAAATTAGATTCGTCTCGGTACATGTTTTTAAATGTTATTTAACCAATACCTTTAAAAATTATTTCCCATAATCTAAAATAACTCCCTGCCTCACAAATTAATGTGATTTCCACTTGTATCTTTCCTCATGAGGATTTACTTTCCCTCATTCCTTGACAACTTCCCCAAACCCAACTCTGGTTCTGCCTCTAATGCCCGCCGAGAGCTTGGCCTCTTTCCTCCCGGCGGGACTGTGCTGTGTCGGGAGCGCCCGTCTCAGCAGCGGGGCTTCAGGAGTCCAGCTCCAGCTGCTCTCGGTTTTCGCTGAGTCTTAACATAAGCTGCTGTTCATAGTAGAGGCTCTTGGCGTAGTTTATTTCTTGTGACAACTTGACAGCGAGGACCTCAGATTTCACGTGGACCTAAGGAGGAGAACAGGATGGGTCACCTGCCCCCAGGGTGGGGAAACCCAGGAATCAGATCCCCCAGGCGGCGGCTCCCAGCCCAGCTGTGTCTCAGGATGGGATGTCCACGTCAAAGAAACAGTGATGGCCGGGGCTGCTCCCCTAGTTCACTTGCACTCAAGTCTGGATTTTTTTTTTTTTTATTTTTAAGACGGAGTCTCTGTCACCCAGGCACCATCTCTGTTCACTGCAACCTCCGCCTCCCGGGTTCAAGTGATTCTCCTGCCTCAGCCTCCCATGTAGCTGGGACTACAGGCGTGTGCTACCACACCTGGCTAATTTTTTTTTTTTTTTTTTTAGTAGAGACGGGGCTTCACCGTGTTAGCCAGGATGGTCTCCAACTCCTGACCTCGTGATCCACCCAAAGTGCTGGGATTACAGGCGTGAGCCACCACGCCTGGCCGATCTGTCTTTTTAAACATTCCCCAGGACTGTGCAGCCAACCCATACTCACCTGCCATCTGGGACCCCACCCCTCCCCGCCCCCAGAACTGATGTGCAGAGGTAAGACCGAGAGCAGGAGTGCGGGGTTCACATCTCAGGTGACAGCCGAGGAAGGAAGAAGAATCAGCCCACAAAAGCGTCTAGGTCTTTCTTACCACAAACACCTCCCTGCTCACCTGCTTTGAAAGGGTGCAGAAGTGTAGTAGGCGAGGCTGCCCACCTGCTACAGTGAAGGGATCTGGAGAAATACTCACACTTTGGGGTGCTCGCCCTCTTTGTCAGCCAGCTCTAACTTAAGCCAATGACCGACCGCAGGGCAGCCTTACACAAGCCCAAGCAAGCCCCAGTGCATTGCTGAGCAGGGGGAGGCCAAAGGACTCCGGAGGAGAGAGGCCCAGGAAGGCCGGCGCTATTTCTGATCCGTAGAGAGAGGCGCGGGCAGGCCCTTTTAATTAACGTATCGTTCTTGAATGCAAGCTTCAAAATCCCCGCGTACCGGGTGAGAATGAGCAGGACTAACACCTGGGTGTCGTGGCAAGCCACCAGGCAGACTGGCCAGGGACAGCACCGCGAGGGGCTCTGCAGCCAGCTCCTGTGTCAAGTCACTTGGATTTGAACCCCAGCTCCTCAAGGTCAGCTGTGTAGACCTGAATGAATCACCTGCCATGACCAATAGCGAGGAGGGGATGACAGCGACACAATGACCACACAACCCACAAGGCGGCCAGCCCTCCAGGAGCGCGAGCTGTTCACAGGAGCTTTCTTATTTAAAGGCCTTGTCATAGCAATACCCTGCCCCCTCTGGAGGCCAAGTATAACTTTTATTTACAAATACTTCTTGCACATGCTAGAGCTACTAGAAATAATGTTCTGGTTTCCACTGTTAAGGAGAAACAACGGAGAAGCGTGAGCTCCAGTGCTTTCTTCCATTCAGTGCACTGGAGAATCCCATTGTGGGAGCAGAAAAACCCTGTGTGTTTTGTTAGCTGTTCCTTATCACCAACGAGAGTAAGTATTGTCACCCTCACTACATCTATGAGTAACTGAGGCACAAATGTTGTGAGGCAGTAACATTCCCACAGTCACCCATGGGCCAGCTTGGAGGGCAGCATCACCCCGGGCAGCATCACCCCATAAACATACCCTGGGCCCTCCCACGTTCAGGACGGAGAGGAGCACTCCTGGGAAGGGCCCAGCCTGAACCTCCTACATGGGCTCCTGCTGAGGAGGGGGAAGCAGGGCAGAGGCATGGAGGCCCTGGCCCTGCGCCTGAGGAGCCTGAGAACAGCCTGAGAACAGCCATGCACTCACCATGGGCTTCTGGTGGGAGGGGCCGGGGATGGACACTCCGCTGCTCGTGCTCACGGCTTTCTTGGTCACCTGCACGTACACCTTCCCATGGTCTTTGGAGACAAGGCAGTGGTAGAGGTCATCGTATTTGACTTCTAGGAAAATGGCTTCTCGGTCCACGTAGTCCCCACTTTTCAGGAAGTAAACAGCTTTGGAGGAGATGAGCACGCAGTAGCTGTCAATGTTCTCCACAGCGATGAAGCTGCAAAGCAAGACGGGAACACAGGAGTGACACCTGGGGCTTGGCCCAGCGTCAGGGGGAGGCCCACTGCGGGCTCTGTGGCCCCAGGGCCTGAGTGTAAATCCCGGCCCCCTTGCTCACTACACCTTGGGCAGGTGGCTTAATCACGCTGAGCTTCAGCTTCCACTTTTGTAAATTAGGAACAAAAATGGGCCTGGCCTCAGGGGCCTGTTGTGAGGCCCATGGCCATGGCACCCCACACCCCTCGATGGGGCGCTTGATAAATGTCAGCTAATGATGACCACCAACAATTTCAAAGATAGAAATACTTTCATATCCGGAAATTGTATCTTGGGGGGTGTTTGTTGATGTTTTTCTGTGAGCATTTCTGGATACCTTAAAGCTTACAGAAAACGGTAACAATGCCGTATTGGACGAAACCGAAAACGGGATGCCTTTCAATGTGAAACTGAAGGAGCAGCTGAGAAAGTTCACTGCCTGGCAGAGGGGAGGGAAACACGAGCGGGCGAGAAGGCGCGGCTGGGGGTGCTGAAAGCTGATGGGGAAAAGCAGAACTAAACAGATTCACCAAATGGCACGCCAGGAAGAGACGGCCTGGTGTTAAAACACCTGCACTCCCACACCCGCTTCCTCCGTCTGTAAGCTCAGCCCCTCCAGGGACGGGGCACTCCCCCATCCACTTCATGTTCAGAAAACTCAGAGAGTCAGAAAACGCTTTCTTAGGTAAAGCTGTCATCTTCCTTTTGGAAACTACTAGTTGTTACTTCAGGAGCTTTCCGGCCACTCCGAAGAAACTGAATTCCTCTATCATGGAGCTCACACATTTAAAGTGGAAATTTATGCACATCAAACCTCTCTGGCCACTGAATGAAGAGCAGTGAGCCTTGGGAACAGCGTGACAGTCCCCCCCCGGCCTGGCTGCCTCCCCTGAATCTTGTGACAGCCCTTCACAATGGGGCTGCAGCGTCCAGGGACAGCGGACAAGGATGGACGGCGGCAGGAATACTAAAGGCTGACGACAGAGTGGCAGTCGAGCTCCTGCTGGCAAACTGAATTGCTCAGAGCCAGGCTCCACCTTCAAGTGTTCGGAAACCTGGGTCCAGAACGGTGTTGTTCCCAGGTCCTCTGAAGGAGGCAGAAGCCTGGGGGCAGGAGGTGGCCTGCCTGTTGAAGGGAACAGGCTGCCGGGCCCTCGCTCACTGGGGGTCCGTGCAGGACGCACGCCTGCTCCCTCAACTTCTCTAAAGCCCATCCCCCCCCTCCCTGCAAGGATCACAGGTCCTAACTTCTCTATGAAGCATCCCCCACATACTCCAGCCCCTCCTCCACTTTTGAGCATTTAATTGTGATGGTCCCCAAAGCACCGCCAAGCACCAACTCGTCGTTTCCATGTGTCCTGGATAAGTCTCTCCGCTCTCTGACGACGAGGTGAGCCCTGTAAGTGGGGTCCATATCTCACAGCCCCGTGTCTCCTGAGCAACCACAGAGCTGGCCACCCCATCAGCACTCAGTAAGTGTCTGCCTTGTCCCAGTTGCCATTTTAATTACAGACGCCCGTGACCAAAACTGGGGTTTATTGTTCTATTCTAACTGGTTGACAATGCCAAGAATGTAGACTTGTAAAGTCTCAATGCCAACATTAGAAAGACCCGCAGCCTTCAGCGTTCAGGCCACTCAGCACAGACGTTCTCACATCTTGCGCTCTGACAGCATTGAGAGCGGCATCATCACTGAACAGAGTTGGATGGAATCTGAAATGGCTGGTCCGGGAAAGAAACGAGGGCACGGGGAAAGACAGACAGACAGACAGACAGACAGAGAGGTATAAAAATGATCCTGACACAGAGAAGAGGTGACACAGTGCCAGCCAGAACCGGCGGGGACTCAAGCTGAGACCCTGGAGCGGGCCTGGTGCACAGGCACTGAGGCCGTCACGGGCTCTCCAAGGAGACTCCAAAGTTGGCCACCATGTTTGGGGTGACAGCAGGAACCTGCATGAAAAATCCAACTGAGATTTGAGGTTCTTTCCTCTAGGTGAGCATAGCACAGGCACTTTCACCCCAGTGCCCAGCCCCCAACCCCCAGCGCCACCACACTGGGCACTCGCCATAGCTGACATTTACATGTCAGTCACAGGCTTTCCATCTGGGCAGATGCTCTCACACCCAGGCCAGAGTGGCCGACATGACTAGTGTGCTTTCCATCCTGGAACACTTCTATAGGCTTTAAAATAGACTCTTTTCCGGCCGGGCGTGGTGGCTCACGCCTGTAATCCCAGCACTTTGGGAGGCCGAGACGGGCGGATCACGAGGTCAGGAGATCAAGACCATCCTGGCTAACACAGTGAAACCCCGTCTCTACTAAAATACAAAAAAAATTAACCGGGCGTGGTGGCGGGTACCTGTAGTCCCAGCTACTCAGAGGCTCAGGCAGGAGAATGGCGTGAACCTGGGAGGCAGAGCTTGCAGTGAACCGAGATCGTGCCACTGCACTCCAGCCTGGGAGACAGATGGTGCAAGTCCTCCATCAGGCCAGAACCACTTCTGGAGGAGGGGTGACTGAGCTGGGACGCCTCCGGAAAGGTAGAGAGCACAGTGAAGGAAACACAGGCCGAGCCAGCAGGAAAGCCCGGCCCGCTGGTTGACTCTGGCCGAGTCCGTGGCTTTCTTGGTAGCTCAGGCTCCCTCATCTTTCTGATGGAGAGGGTAATCACTGCCAGTTTTCTTCACAAAGTGAGCACGGAGGTCAAGGAATTCATGGCCATACAGAAAGGTAAGTGGAGGAAGGCAGTGCTGTCACTCCACACGGATCTCTGTCCTGTAAGTCCAGGACCCTGCGCATGCCCCGAAGCTGCTACTGATAATAACGTATGTTTGGAAATTGTGCATGAAGTGTTCTAAAGTCTTTGCAAATCAAAAGCAGATCAGAGCCAAGGGTCTGGCTGAAGGAAGAAGGGAGGTAGTGAGGCCACAGCTGGAACTGGGCAGTGACCCCAGGGCCCAGGCGACCACAGCTCTGTCCCCATCGTCTTCCTGTGGCTTTCCTGCACCCGACAATGGCCAGGGCTTTGGGTTGCATCATCATCATTATTACTAATTTTAATTCTTTTTTTTTTTTTTTATTACAAAATCTGCCAATCACATCAAAGAATAATTAAACAGTTCCAGACCAGACCCCTTATCTAATGGAGTCTGATCCCAAACTTGTCACTGTGAGAGAAGCAGCAAAACTCAGGGTGGTAAGAGAAGCCTGGCAAACGCAGCACGCTCCGCACCCTCCCCTCTGCCCATCTGCACCGTCTTCCGTTCCCTTTCCCTAAAGCCACAGGCCATTCCCCTCCCTCCCTGGACTAGTTCTCCCAGGCTTTCCTTTGCCTCACTTGAGGCTCCCTGAGGTGCTCACACTGCTTTGCAGTCTCGACCCCAGGCTCTCCTCTCTTCACTGCTCTTAAAATCAAGCTTCCCGCAAGGCCTGCTTTTGGTCCACGAATAGTGACTGTTGGAAAAACCTTGAGGGAAGAAGGCCACCATGGTCTTGGGTGGCTCTGAGCATATTCCTTCTGTTCTCTGATCTGTTATTAACTGAGAGGAAAGGGGAGCCAGAAACACACAGCATCAGATGAGCTTTATCCTTCCAATCCGAGACCTCGAGAAGTCACCTCGGTATTCAGTTGACACAGTTTAGGTTGCTGTAGATACTACAATTGATTCTATTTAAAAAATAGGATTTTTATACTATTCTGAAACCTCAGTTAAAAGTTTCAACTCTGGGGGCAGAGCACGGTGGCTCCCACCTATAATCCCAGCACTTTGGGAAGCTGAGGCGGGAGGATCACTGGAGCCCAGGAGTTTGAGACCAGCCTGGGTCACATAGTGAGACACCATCTCTATTTCAAAAAAAAAAAAAAAAGAAGAAAGAAAAAAGTTTTAACTCCCCTTTAAGGGGAGAAAGGATACTCTGGCCTTGGGGCTCAGTGTCAGAAAGTTTCTTCCGAGAGAAGGGAAGGCTGTGGCACCAGCTTACACCCTTTTCCAAGATGACAGGTGCTAAGAGTGGGTGAATCTGCCAAGAGCCAGTGCCACCTTAATAGAACCCACCATCACTAACGACATCCATAGACCAGGAACCACGGGGCACTCTCCGCAACAGCAGCCATGGTACCATCAACAGCAGCCTCAGGCCTCCTCTGGGGCAGGTCACAACGTCCTCCCAAGCCGCTCTGGTGCCAGTCGCCTCCGCCTCTCACTTTGCCCAAAGCTTCCCCATCCTGATGTGTAGAACGCCATGGGTCTACTCTGCAGGGCCACTGTGATGGTGTGAGCTAATCTACGTGCCCCACACGAAAGAGATCCGCAGTTAATGGTGGCTCTTGTTGAGAACAGGTGCCCAGTTATCCCAAACCTGTGGGGATGACCCCTCCTTCCCCCACACATCGTCTCATCAGGAGATTGGAGAGAGAGCTGTCTCTCTGGAAGGCCACATGGGAAACAGGCTCATGACCAACTTGTCTCAGGGAGAAATCTGCCAAGTTAACTGTTTCAGCCACTCTACTTAATTTTCCTCCCGCTTTTTTCCCCCCCAATATTAACTCATTTATA